TATATATTAAAAATATTATTTAAATAGGAAACAAATAAAGAAATATAAACAATTGCAATTATTTGTTAAATTTCATAGATATTAAAACATAATTTCAGTTAGTAATTTATCTATAACTAAAAGAAGAAAAATTGATTATTTAATTTAAATGCTGAAATGTAATGGCATACAGGATTATGTTACATTGAAGGTATTTTATGTAGAAATTGTGTTATTCACTTCCCTTGGTATAACAAGTCCCAGTTCACAAGAATGTCCAAAGTGGACAAAGACAAAGATAACAACAGACATTTTTATATGCATTCTTATCAAATGGAATTTAATAGTCTTTTTAATTTAATACTGATTTTTTATTTAGAATAATAAATATAACATATCACATTAAATATACTTTTAAAAGTTCCCTCAAATTTGTTCCAGATTTAATGTTTAATGTACAAATAGCAAATAAATTATGTAACAATAATAACATTAAGTAATACCAATTATTAAGTATATTTATATACTTGAGCTTCAGACAATTGCCTAATCTTGAAGAGGAATATGAGGATTGTGAGTAAAACTATGTTGCGAGTGAATATGAGTAAAACTAAATTGATTGTGTTTGAATGCAAAGGGTGAGCAAATGGATTGCATGATTTGGGCGAGATAGCGAATGAGTTTATATATTCAGGAAGCATGATATATAGGAATGAAAGGATAGATGGTGAAATCACCAGAAGAGTGAATGCAGGAGCACAGGTGGTGGGTGCAATGAGGAAATTTGCAAGGAATAAAAGGAAGTAGAGGCACAAATGACTGTGTATGGGAGTGTTGTGCTGCCTGTGCTCATACATGGTAGTGAAACTTGGATATAGTGTTGCACTCTCCAAAGAAAAAAGGAAAACAAACATTAAAAAAATTTTCCAAAATCTTTTCTTAATTAAAATTCAATTTCTACACTACTAATGAATTTGCAATCAGATAAGGTGAGAATTTTTTTGAATTTACATTAAAATCTTTTTTACCTATTCAACTCTGCTCCTCCCAAAATTAAATCCTGAATGCATCACTGCTTGGATATGGTATTACACATTACTACATTTGAGATGAGATATTTGAGTGTGTGTGTGTAATGAGGAGAGACTATATGAGAAATGAACAAATACTTGAGGAATGTGGGGTGAAAGAAGATGCAGTTCTACAATGGTTTGGCCACTTTGAGAGAATGAAAGAACTATTGAAGAATATAGTGGAAAAGGTAGGGGTAGCATGACAGGAGAAGACTGAGAGAGAAAGTCTTGGTTGGAACAAGTGGATGAATATCTGAAAGAATATAAGGTGTTGAGTCAGAAAGAGAATGTAAGAAGGAAGGGCATTAGAAGAGGCATGAGTGTGTCTGAAACAAAAGAGATGTATCTGGATAAGAAGGTATGGATAAAGTTGCTGAATGGATGATTTGTGTAGGATTGTAGTCTCCCTTTTACTTATTGTTCACCCTTTTTGGATGAGTGTGAGGGTATGTATGAATGTATGTATTGATATTTGAATACTTGATGCTCAAAAATATACTGTACTTGCAATATACACATTATAAAAAGACATTAAAATTATTGTTTTCTACATGTTTGTGATCATTTGAATAAAAATGTATTGGAAGTTTTTAAATTTATAAATTATAAAAAAAAAAACAAGTTCATAATGATAAAGTAACATCTTGCAACAAAGCTTTTCTTATAGATTACTGCAAGAGTCAGAATTTTTATTTTTCCTATAATAGACTTCCATCAGAAATACCATAATAATTTATTTACACAACAATAAAATTTTAAAAACTTTTTAATCTATAAGTTTTTATAAAATTATTATTTACTGTAATTTGATGCAAATTCATAAGTTACAGTAGGTTAAGCATAGCAATCTTCTTTCTTAAATATACTTGATTTTCATTTTTATTATTATTTTCTTTAAACTTTATGACTAGTTTAATATAACAGATGTAATTTAAATGTTTATTATTTTATATTATGTAAATGCATAACCATTAGAAAAATTATAATTATTTTTTATTAAAATTTTATTTGAGATAATATAAAAAAGCAAAATGGGAAAACTGATTTTTTGAACAATATTTACTAAAGAAAAGTAACAATTACCAATTTGTTAACTTTTTAAATTTAAATTAACAAGTATGTCCAATCAATATAAAACAAATGAATAATATAAGTGTATAGTACTTATTGATTATATTCATCATGTACATTGATTCATGTTACTATGGGTCAGGTCTACCTTAATGGACAAAATTGTGATTGGAATCTTGGAAGATGAAGTCTTATAACAAAGCAGCAATCCATATCAAAAATAAAAAACTTTATAATTAAAATAAATTACTACAATAAATTTAATAATTAAACAGTATTAAGCATGAACTCTAAAAAATTTATTAAAAAATATAATTTTACATATTTTTAAATTATTATTAAAGAAAAATCACATTAAATTTATCAAATGACAATCATCATTTAAATTTTTATAACATTAAAAAATAAAGGAAAACTAATTTTGAAAACTAAAAAAATTTATTTGCTGTAGTTTAATATTTGAATATGAAAGCATTGTAATTATGAAATATTCAAATAATTTAAAAAAATAAAATTTTGTTGGATTTTTAAATAATAACTAATTTTATTACATTAAAAAAAAGGTTTTCAAATTTTAAATAATAATAGGATATTGAAGAAAAAATTTCCTATTCTAACAATAATTGAAATTTAAAAAATTACAATACTCTTCTTTTTCTAAAATGTCATATTAATAAATATGCAAACTGTGTTTCTTTGAATATGTTAAAAGTTTTTTTAAGTAAATTTTAAATTATTGCATTTATTTATTTATATTAACATTTTGAAAGTGAAAATGATAAATAATTCATTTATAAGTAATTTATCAGAAATTACTGATAAACTGTTTTGTTATATTCAGTACCATTTCAATACTATAGCAAATGAGTGTATTACATAAGATAAGCCATAATAGAATACCAGAATATCTTTCTCACTTTTTTTCCAACAAACTTTTTATATATATAACAGGGCTGCGGAGTCGCGTAAAAATCTACTGACTCCAACTCCAACTCTGACTTTTCCCTACCATCCGACTCCGACTCCGGCTAAAACATCAAAACTCCACGACTCCGACTCCGACTCCACAGCCCTGATATATAAACATCACTAAGCCCGATTTATTAATAATAAACCAAACGATTGCTGTTAATAGTAGCAAAACATAGCCTTATTAATTACAGTAATCGTTTTGTTTATTACAAATTTATTTCAAAACGAACATCGTTGGCCTTGTTCAGTAGCCTACCTCAGGTTATTGAATCAAAAAAATGAAAAAAATAAAAGATAAAAACTAAGCATTTCAAATTATAACATTCTATAACTTTGAATATTGTTTTAATGTAATAGAATGTTCTAGGTTAAAACAACATTTGAAGCTGTAAAACATTATAATTGGAATGCTCAGTTTTTTATTCTAGTTTTTTCATTCAATAACTTGAGGCAGGCTACTAAAAAAGGCTAAAACATCTGTTTTGAAATAAAAAATTTGCTGGAAAAAGTGAGGAAGTGTTCTCTTGTGGCATATTAGAACAGTTCCACTTTTGGAGGAATCTGCTCAATATTAGTAAGACTGCAACATTCTGTAATCATCTGGCTACTTGACCAAAACAATATTTATATTTTCTTGCTTTATTCAGACACAATAATGTGACTTCTTTTAAACACTTGGCAGATTATCCATCACTTTGTTTAGTTGGAATGCTAGTTACAAGTTGCGTTTCGGGCATTGGCCCCTCCTCAGCCAACTAAACATTAAAATCAAACATTGTGTTATTGTGTTTGAATAAAGCAAATTAAATTAAAACATGGTTTCATCGGAATCAAAAAAAAATTTATATTTTCTTATTAATATTATTATTGTGTAATTACTTATTAAGAAACTAGATTGGCAACTAGGTCAGATGATACAGCACTTGATTGCTGTGTGGCATGATTCAGGCCAGTCAAATAATTTTTAGTGTTCATCTCTGGTCAGCTCTACAGTCCATCCAATCATTTTTTAAAAGAATTCAGTGAAACTTCTCAATAATGGACACCTACAGAAAATAGTAAAATGCCCATTTTTGAGAAGTGTCCAAATTATTTGAATGGAAATACAAAAATTGAACTTAGAATTTTCAACATTTGAAACACAAAAGTTTCTAAAAACTAACTTTGAGTCTTTTTAGATATTTATAAAAAATGCAGCATGCAAAAATTCATATGAATGAATGCATGTAAAAAAGATATGATGTTACTATACCAGTGGCATGTTATAGTTACATGGGGCACAGGCAAATTTGAATTAGGGAGCCCTCCCATGTGTTGACTTCAAACATTTTTCTTTGGGGAATTCCTCGTATCCTCATTTGTTTTTTAATATGATCTCTGGCGGGTTAAGTTCAGTGCTATGCCAGAAATCTAGGGTTCCCAAATATGGCCCAAACTTAAATTTTGATATTCTAACTACTAAAATGAGATTATAAAAAATTGGTTTTATGCCCCTTTAGTGGTCAATTGCTCTTTTTGCATATAGCATAACACACCATTAATCTACACTAAACTCCTCAGTTTTAAGGAATGACCTTTAAATGTTTGATTTCCATTCTTTAGGTCCAAAATTTCTCAAGTTTTCTATTACACATTAAAAGAAACAAAATAAGTATTTTTTATTTAAAAATTGATTCATCTGTAAAAGAATTGCTACTTTACAAATTTACAAGGTGTGATCAAAAAGTGGCTTAAGTCCAAATTAAACAGGGCAGTTAGAAACAGTTGGCCAGTATTTCTCAAACATTTTGCTCACATAACCCAATATATTTGTTTGTTATGGTTCTGCAACCCAAATGTTTATAATATAATATAATGATTTTTTAAAAACCTAGTAAACTGGAGTCACTCTATATTATATAACAAAATAAAATTATGCATTGTTGATAAAAACTTATGCGTGAAAAGTAACATTAAGTACATTTCTGTTAAGAGCGGTTCAGGCAAATTTCAATTTGTAAGAAACATCTTACTTCAATTTCAGTTTTTATTATTGAAATTTAACTAATACAAAATGTAAGACTGATGATTGTAAAAAAAGAGACTCCTGAATAATTTTGAAACAATTTTACTTTATAAAGAAAAACTTTTAATATTTTTCAAACTTAATGAACCCTTTTCTCAAATGTACTTTTCAGATTGTAAGATGATTTTGTTAATTTCATTTTGTATCTTGTGTATAAAAAAAAAATTAAAATTTTAATGCGACCCATAGTTTGAGAAACACTGAACTAGGCATAGGGTTGATGTGAAGGGCTGGCCGGAGATATGGAGTTCGTAAAACTTGTGTACCACTTACTCGGCAGCTAATCGTGAGAGTAGCCCTCGGCTGTCTAAAAGGAGGTTTTCTATTAATAATATCGAGTGTGGAGGGACTTACATTGCTAGTAAAAAGGTGGAGGAGATGATTCTCCTGTCAGGACAATCGAGTCTCCTGTCAGGTTCCCAACACTAGTTAATCTTATTTTAACACGGATTAACACGCGTAGCCACGGAATTGCGAGTATGAGGAATATAAGTACTTTGAGTAGGCAGAGGTGTGAATATTAATCATCAAAAAGGTCATATTTTTGATGATTAATATTCAAAAAGTTTGGCATGCTTTGCTATTTTTCTTAGCTGTAATTATAGTATCAATGATAAAAATATTAAAACATAGAATCAAATTTTTTAAGAATTCAAAATTTCAAGATTATAAACAGCACTCAATAGTTCAATTAAAACTGGATTGTATAACAGGAAAACTGGCTGTGTCAAGCATATGACACACAGCAACTTCAAGGATGATTATATATTGCAGTTATTTGTGAGAACCTGGACTTCAATTTAAACAACTTAAACTAAATAATAATATAAATTTTCAATAATATAACTTTGTCGGCAGTGTTATCTGTCAACTTTCACACTGGGAGCATCTCTTTCCACATGTTCTCAGTGTCGACAGAGAATCTTTCCCACGACCTCTTGACATGCTGTCCTGATTTTACCACTTTAATATGACAACTAAAGGCCAGCCATGTCAGTCATTACCAGTTCCTCCACGACTCAGTAATCATCGCCAGTTCCTCAACTGGGCAAATTGTTTCCTGTGCCTCCATTACTCTATTGTCAGATACATTGTTTTTGCTCCATTAACTGATACTTCAGCAATTTCTTCTACAGATATGTCATCCCTCTCACCTGTGCCATATTACCTACTGTTAACATCTGGAAGAAGAACTATTGTCAAGAGCTTTTCTCTTATCGACCTGCCAGCAAGCTTCAGATTCCTAGAACTCCTCTACAAGATATTTATCAATTCACAATCTACTGTGAACTCTCTTTCTCTCCCATGTACATCTGATTTATCTGCACGTACAAATTCCTAATTGAATCAGTAGTCTTATCATATTAGTCTTACGTGTAAAAATCCTATGAACAAATAAATAGATATTTGGTTTGTATAACTTGTTTCTGAGTGTATTACTTCTGCCTCACTGTCTCATAGTCCTTCTCCATCCCAAATCTGATGCTTACGCACACAACCGCTCATGAGACCAATAAAAAATCAAATTGCTGTCGCAGCTTGTGTGTCGATAGAGAGACAGTGGTATCATCCTGACATGGCATCAAAGAGGTGCCGACCCTCCGGTCACATATTTGTTACTTTTATTTTTCATCACCTATGTGGGTGATATATATAAATCTTGTAACTTTGTACTCACTTTGTCATTATTGTTATTATTTTTTATTAATTTACCTATATTTATACATTTTTTATGTATTTTGTATGTTATTTTATTTATGCATATTACATTATTTCATTTTATTTAAATTTGAAATGATTGGCATTCTATAATTATATTCTTTTCTTGCATTCTTAAATTAACCATCCAAGTTGTAATGTTAAATAGAACTACCATATATCTGCGTAGATAAGATGATAGTTGAATCATAAAAATAGACCCCCAAAATCTGGGGTCATCTTATAGGAGACAGATAAAAAAAAAAAAGATTGAAATTTATATAAATTAAAACCATTATAAAAAACCAACAAACCGTAATTATTTACTGGTAGAGAGTAGGGTATGTCCACAAAATAGAATAGCCCATATGATGTTTTTGTGAATAGTCAAGGTCATTACCTGAATGCTGGAATTTATATAAATTAAAACCATTATAAAAAACCAACAAACCGTAATTATTTACTGGTAGAGAGTAGGGTATGTCCACAAAATAGAATAGCCCATATGACATTTGTGTGAATAGTCAAGGTCATTACCCGAATGCCTGAATCAGTGTGAATGTTTGCAACAATCGCAAGGCAGTGCTACCAGATGCAAGAAAATAAAATTTGAAGTTATTTAAAAAAATTACCAATAGGACATAATTCCGTATACACTATTATAATACATAATTCCGTATACAGTGTTATTATCCAGATGATAATCACTGATCTAAACTAAATTCATAGACTGTTGATAGTTTGGGGGTCATCTTACAGGACAGATATATGCTAAAACTATAAAACTTTGATGAAAATTTATACCTCGTCTTATAAATTTATGGTAATTAACCTGAAGGTCTTGAAAGACTGAAAACATTCGTTATTAAATAGTTCTTCTGCTTAAAGATTGTGAATGTGTTTTAATTGTCAAGCATATGTATGTTACTTCTCCAATAGCTTAGTCGGAAAATACCTTGATTTTATATCAACATTACCTTGTTAATGAATAAATTTAAATAAACATTAATATTTCAAATTAATATTTATTGTCTTTTGCTTATTTTAAATTGCAATTTTTAATATTCAGATAATTTTCATTATATTTTTTAATAATAATTATTAAAATAATATTTAGTTTTTTCAAACAATTTGCAGAAAATAACTTTTGATTATCAAAAAATTTTTGTATTAATTAGTTTAAAATAAGTAAAATATAATATAATATCAATGTATAACTTTCATAAAAAGAGAAAATTCTTAATATACAATATTAAGAATTTTTGGCTGGGTATTTGAACTTCCAAAAATTGTAATTCATAGCAAACAAACAAATTTTTTAGATACTATTAAATGAATTAGTTAATTATTATGTTTACAACAAATAATTGTTGAATAACTACAATAAAATTTCTGTTGATACAATGAAGTAATAAAGTTAAGTTTAAGTAAAAATGAATGTAATTCATTCAAAAATATTTTAATGATAATTAGTTTAAATATACATGAAACTATTACAGTATATACATATACATCTAGTTTTACTAATTTTAGTATGAATTATTGTCATATTTAAATTTATTTAATTGATAGAAATACTTCCAATATTCTATTTTCACTGTGTTACTTTTGCTGTCTATGAAATAAAATGAATGGTTAATGTTTATTAATAAACAAATCACAACTATATAAATGCTTTAGTGAATACATATATCACTATATCTATTAAATAAGTTAAGATTCAAACAGAAAATATGTTTGGTACAGGTAGGAACAAAAACGCTTTTTCACAATATGAAGAATGCTTCATTATCAAAGTGGAAACCTAATTCATTTTCCTCAATATCATACCAAATACTTTACTGAATATATTTATATTATCTATTGATGAAACTTACAAATAATAAAATGTTTTACAGATAATCATTAATAAAACAATCTACAAAAACAAACTATAATTTTAGGTTTAATGCTGTTAAGTTTTCTACTTAATTATTTATTGCATATGGAATCACATAACAATAGATATTATTTTACAGTTTGAAATTAAGTATAAAAGAGTGTAAACAAATTAAATTTAAAATCAAATTTATTTTATCTAAAAAAGTTATTTAAATCATACATACATATATATACACAGTATATATATTATAAATGTTTATGAATTGTTTTTAAAAAAGATTTCTTATACATATTTGATTATAATTTACATAATTCAAAAATTAACTAAGTGGTGAAAAGTTAAATTTATACTTGGGTAAATATAAATAATTCATTCTTTAGGCATTTGTGTATTCTCAATATGGAACTCATTAAAATCATGTAAGAATAAAGCAATTACACTACCTTTTATTATATTAATATATTTTATTTATAAATCATAGTTAAGGATTATACCAATCAAGAAATAACAGTGAAAAAGAAATGACAATGAGAAAAAAGAGTATCCATACTCTAAAACCTGCATTCTTTTTCATTGCCTGAAAAAAAAAAAAACAGAAATGTTTTAATATTTTATAAATAAAAGTTTATAGAGAATTATTAATTTAACTAACTTCTCTCAATTCTTCATTTCCTTCTTTAATATTTTCTGTAGTTCCAACTATAGTATCTGATATCCTATTAATATCTTGTTCCTAAAAATGTACATAGAATGAATCAATATAAGTAAGAAATTATACAAAAGATAAAAACAACTAAAATTTCTTTATACATTAAAATCAAAATTATTTTTATATCATTGTAAAATTGGATATAATATAAAATTTTTATTAATTCTATAATTTGTAATTATTAGAACACTTAAAGTATTGATAATTTTCCTACAACTTGGATCAGTAACTTTATTATTATATCAATTCTAATTTAGTACATAACAGTATTACATTGTAATTATGAGCTGAAGAATGTTTTCTCTGAGCTTTAATTTGAATACTATATAAAAATATATGATTTACTTAGTTTAATCAAATTTAATTGTCTTATTATTTCTAGTTTCTTACAATTCATAACCATAAGAAATTGAAACATTTTAATTAAAAAACCACAATGAATAATAAAAACAAAAGAAATTTAATTACAGGAAAAATATTAATACCATTTAAACTCAAAATAAATTATTTTTTGTAAAAAATACTGTCATATGTCATGACATTAAAATAAATATTGAAAAACAAAAAAATGACTGCATTTATAAAACAAACTTTTTTCCAAATCTTTAATTGAATCATTTTTAAGTATTTATTACTTTAAAATTTGATGTAAATAAAATTCGAATTTTTAAATTTTAATCTATTCAAAATCAACACAAATAAAATATATTTAAATATAAATACAACAATTGGATATAATATAAAAATTATCAGCATTATGCATATTGATAACTATGCTTTAGATGTAGCTGATACTGCAATTAAGCTCACTTTGCAAATTAACAATGTCTGAAACTACATATTATAATTCTAGTCACATAACTATGGTTTAAAATTGTTAATAAATCCTGTAAGTTCATTACATAAATAAACTATTGTACAATCCTCGTAAAATATGGAAATCTTGCTATTTATATAAACAAGACTTTGAAGCTGATAAGAAAGTATTTTAACACCTGCACTCAATGTCATAACTTTCATAAAAAGAGAAAATTCTTAATATACAATATTAAGAATTTTTGGCTGGGTATTTGAACTTCCAAAAATTGTAATTCATAGCAAACAAACAAATTTTTTAGATACTATTAAATGAATTAGTTAATTATTATGTTTACAACAAATAATTGTTGAATAACTACAATAAAATTTCTGTTGATACAATGAAGTAATAAAGTTAAGTTTAAGTAAAAATGAATGTAATTCATTCAAAAATATTTTAATGATAATTAGTTTAAATATACATGAAACTATTACAGTATATACATATACATCTAGTTTTACTAATTTTAGTATGAATTATTGTCATATTTAAATTTATTTAATTGATAGAAATACTTCCAATATTCTATTTTCACTGTGTTACTTTTGCTGTCTATGAAATAAAATGAATGGTTAATGTTTATTAATAAACAAATCACAACTATATAAATGCTTTAGTGAATACATATATCACTATATCTATTAAATAAGTTAAGATTCAAACAGAAAATATGTTTGGTACAGGTAGGAACAAAAACGCTTTTTCACAATATGAAGAATGCTTCATTATCAAAGTGGAAACCTAATTCATTTTCCTCAATATCATACCAAATACTTTACTGAATATATTTATATTATCTATTGATGAAACTTACAAATAATAAAATGTTTTACAGATAATCATTAATAAAACAATCTACAAAAACAAACTATAATTTTAGGTTTAATGCTGTTAAGTTTTCTACTTAATTATTTATTGCATATGGAATCACATAACAATAGATATTATTTTACAGTTTGAAATTAAGTATAAAAGAGTGTAAACAAATTAAATTTAAAATCAAATTTATTTTATCTAAAAAAGTTATTTAAATCATACATACATATATATACACAGTATATATATTATAAATGTTTATGAATTGTTTTTAAAAAAGATTTCTTATACATATTTGATTATAATTTACATAATTCAAAAATTAACTAAGTGGTGAAAAGTTAAATTTATACTTGGGTAAATATAAATAATTCATTCTTTAGGCATTTGTGTATTCTCAATATGGAACTCATTAAAATCATGTAAGAATAAAGCAATTACACTACCTTTTATTATATTAATATATTTTATTTATAAATCATAGTTAAGGATTATACCAATCAAGAAATAACAGTGAAAAAGAAATGACAATGAGAAAAAAGAGTATCCATACTCTAAAACCTGCATTCTTTTTCATTGCCTGAAAAAAAAAAACAGAAATGTTTTAATATTTTATAAATAAAAGTTTATAGAGAATTATTAATTTAACTAACTTCTCTCAATTCTTCATTTCCTTCTTTAATATTTTCTGTAGNTATATATAAAGAATCTGTTTCTTTTTATGCCATTTTTTCATTCACATAAAATATGTGAATTAATAATGGTTGACATGAAGCCCAAATCTGCTACAGACTATGAATTCTGATCTCCAACATGGTTAGCAACATAGATGACAAATAGAAAACAACATTCAAATCCAAATTTTTCATAATAAATTATGTGTCTAAATATGATTCCTATCCTGATCACAAATAGTAAAATGACATCTAATTGCAAAAACAACAAAAAAGATGTTTTTATTTATTTAGATTTAAAAAAGTTTTATTTGGTCTAATTGATAAATTTTTAACATTTCTCTTAATAAATTCAGTTATAATTTAAATCAGTGCAAAAAGTTCATATTTTACATTATTTAAATATAATGTGAAAGAAATTTTTGCAATAATAGTAATTTTAACAGTTAAAAAATTAAAGTGGTATGAAAGGTGAAAAGATAAAATTTGACCAAGAAGATGAAAGACTGAGTTTTGAGACAAAACTCACACAAATAAAGAAAGTAGCATTTCTGTTATTTTTTTGGACTTATTGATACATAGTGGTACAAACAAATTGGAATTTGGTGTTTTTGTAAGTCCAACCTATTATCTCTAGTCATACTTTGTAACTAATTTTAGCCTCCTGCACCTAAGTACAATTGCTATTAATTCCCTGATCAGAAGGGCTTTTTTTTTAACTTCCAATGCTCATTTATTATGATGAGATCTTAATGTAATCAATTATGTTTTACAATATGCTGGATATCCTTACAGCAAATATATTTACATAAATTTCAACTAGGTTTAAATGTTAATAGAGACAACTATGTAATGCATCTATTTCATATGTAGGAACCTTATCCCTGAAAGCTGCTTCACAAGTTTAATGAAATCTTCTCCCTCATCCCTCAACAATAACTCAAAAGATTAATTGTAAACAATAGACACCCTAGGTCCAGTTTCAAGAAATTGGGTATTTACAAAATAAATTTAATTTCATCATCACATATTGTGCCAGTTATGTGTGTACAATAGCTGTTACCCGTGACTTCATCTGTGCGGATTTTGCAAGCAAACCCCATTAATATTCAGTATTTCAACAACCACAGTAATTGTTATATAACACCTACCGCTGAGAATGATGAGAATTGCTGAGAATCAAATGAACTGTTTTCAACTTGATCAATTTTCTGGAACGTTTACAATTGTTCTATAATCGAATCAATATGCAATAACAAATTCAAATTTAAAACAATTTGAATATTTGGTTAAAAAATTGAAATACTGTATATAAAAATATTTATAACAATGTCTGAAATATTATCAATTTAATACATCAATTTATTTAAGTACTCAATGAATACTAAACATAGTTGAAAACAAAAAATTGCATCTAAAATAGTAAAGTAGAAGCCTTTCTTCAGGTTAAGCCTTAAGCATTAATCTTCTCCCTCTCCTCCCATGAGGGAATTTCGAAAAATCCCTTCTTAGTAACTACACATAACTGTGTAAAGTACTATATTATTTTTCCGACTTTTCCAACGATTATCGACACGACTGTGTGCCGGAAATAGCCGTTCCCTAACGGGTACTTTATGTGGATTCACATTAGTGTGCCAGGCCTGGACTTTTAGCGTGCACCGAAACAACGGACTTTCTGCAAACAAGTGTGAATGATAATTAATATGCATCAATGTCCTTAATTTAAACAAATTATTCTTTCAATCACCATAACAGTGTATTTCTATTAATAGGACTTATCACACTGGTGTATAAGATTACAGCAACACAGTCACACAGATTAAAATTGTTTTTTTTTTACAATTACCTGTANATTCTTTCAATCACCATAACAGTGTATTTCTATTAATAGGACTTATCACACTGGTGTATAAGATTACAGCAACACAGTCACACAGATTAAAATTGTTTTTTTTTTACAATTACCTGTACAGGTAATTGTAAATATAATACTTACCTCCTATAGTTGAAAGTGCTGTTATCATACCAGTGTGAGGACAGAAACATGTTATTTATTTGGGAAATATTTATATTCTGTCCAATAATACATGAAACCATCTAATCTGTGGGTTTCACTCCTTAAATAAGTGAAGGAAAAAACAGATAATAGAGAGGTTGCAGCCAACATTTTCATCGTGAAAATGTGTATGTCAGATGTTCAGCGCCATCTTCCTGTAAGCCTAGACGTTTGAAAATGGTGTTTGGAACATCGAACCTGGTTCCACTGACGTTCCAAACGCCATTGTCAAACTTCTAGGCTTACAGGAAGGCGGTGCCGACGTACACATTTTCACAATGAAAATGTCCTCTATTAACCAACCTCTCTATTAATTTTTACTTTATTACTAATGTAATTTAATTTTTATATTACATTCTTTTATTTGAATTTTAAATTATTTTATTTGTTTAAAAGATTGATTAATGTTCAATATCTTTTATAAATTAAAACTATGTATTCCATGTTCTATTTGGAATTTTGTTAGTCTAATGAAAATGTCATTGCATTACTGAAAGACAGCTTATTTATATATTCATTCTTTAAAACATTATTATTTATATCATGTTTACTTTCAATATATTTGTTGTGTGTGTAATCAATTTCAAAATCACAATGTTCTTATGAATGTGAGATT